GTGATTGAAATGAATAGTTTAAGTAACTTTTGGGAAAATTAATGATATCTTATTAATACAAGAAAATTATTCTAAGTATGGCATATAGAGTGTTTAAAAATACAAAAGGAAGATTATTAAGAGATATGGATAATAATATAAATTGTATCTAACCCATTTATCTGTATTGTCATAATTGATTATTTTGGTGGGATTTTTACTTATTTTCTTTCTACTAATCTATCTAAAACATGAACTTTTATTTTTGTACCTTTCTGCTTTTACATTATTTATGTTCAATACTGAATTTATTAAAATAAAAAGAATTTCTTGATATCTTGAATTTTATCTTAATCAGTCCATTAATATATCTACTTACCTTTTTATTTTAATAACATACAAGTAGTACATTTTTTGAGCTCTTGTACTTAAACCAAGCAAACATGAAAACCCAAAGCCCAACACATTTATTGTATGAAAATCCTATTTCCACAGTCTGGTTCATTTGGAACTTTGAAGTTTTGGTTTATTTTTTTTCCATGATAATTAGTTCTGCAAATATTTAGACTGAGACCAGACTGTTTTTAACTTCTTTTTTCTTAGTTTCTTTCTAATTATGTTTAATTTAAACTTACATTTCAGTTTCCCATGTACAAGTTTTTTTCATAAATCTTGTCTAGTCATCAATCAGTACTTTCTAATTCAAGGCTTTAATCAGAATTAGAAAATTAAATTTAGTTATACCTGTATTTATTGCTTTTAATGGTCTCCTTATTAGTTTACATCATGATGAAATGATTCCTTATCATACTTTGGTCCTTTTTCATCTGAGCTTGGTATTTTTGTACCTCATCCTGTTGTCCTTGCATCCTTTCCTGATCTATCTGATCTATGTAGTTGACTTTCTGCATCTGTCCCTTGGCAATTATGCTCACTGCACACTACTCAATTCCCAAAACAGATTTACATCATAATCTCCAGGTACCTAATGGTCACTCATCAGATACTATAAAAAGATGATGGTATCTTTCAATATTAGTATAAGTTTGTTTTTGTTTCTTTGAAATCTTGATTTTTTTTCTTAAAACATCATATGGGATTTTTTTCTTATTCTTAAATGTTCTCCCACCATCTTGAATTTGGTAAATACTTGAATCTTTTCTCAGATTTGGAGGGCAGATATGAGTGCAATTTTCAATGTCTAGACATTTTTAGTTTATTATAATTCCTCAGGAGAACTGGATTTCCAAGACATTGGATAGAATGAATGCATGAAAATGTGCCAATCCACTCAGCAGCCTATTGACCTTTCTCCAAATTAGATCACATCTTAGGGCACAAAGCAAACCTCAACAAATAAAAGAAAATAGAAATAACCCCCTGCTTTCTATCTGACCACATGCAATAAAACTAGAACTCAACAACAAAAGCAACAGCAGATAATATGCAAATAATTGGAGGCTGAATAACACATTTCTCGACAATTAGTGGGTCATAGAAGAAATAAGAGCGGAAATCAAAATGAAAATGAAAACACCACCCACCAGAACCTATGGGACATGGCAAAGGCAGTTCTAAAAGGAAAGTAGTTTATAGCCATGAGTGCAAACATTAAAAGTATAGAAAGATAAATAAATGACCTAATGCTATATCTCAAACTCCTAGAAAAACAAGAACAGGCAAAACCCAAAACAAGCAGGAGAGAAATAATAAAAATAAGGGCTGAAGTTAATGAAATAGAGACCAAAAAATCCATACAAAGAATCAATGAAACAAAAAGTTAGTTCTTTGAAAAAATAAACAAGATGGGCAAGCCTTGGCAAATCTCACTAAAATGAGGAGAGAAAACCCCCAAATCCAGTAAAATCAGAAACGCAAAAGGGAAGATAACAACAAATACCTCGGAAATCCAGGGAATCATTAGAGACTACTTTGAGAACCTATATTCCAATAAATTTGAAAATCTTGAAGAAATGAACAAATTTCTAGATACTTATGACCACCCAAAACTGAACCAAGAAGATATTAACCACCTAAACAGATCTATAACACATAACGAAATTGAAGCAGTAATAATAATTTCCCAAAAAAGAAAAATCCAGGACCTGACAGAGTCTCTGCTGAATTCTACCAGAACTTTAAAGAACTAATATCAACACTCTTTAAATGTTTCCATGAAATAGAAAGAGAAGGAACACTGCCTAACTCATTCTATGAAGCCAATATTATACTCATCCCAAAAGCAGACAAGGACACATACAAAAGGGAAAACTATAGGCCAGTTCCCTTAATGAACATCAATCCAAAAATCCTCGATAAAATAATGGCAAACCAAATCCAACAACATATCAAAAGATCATTCACCACGATCAAATTGGCTTCATCCCAGGGATGCAGAGATGGTTCAACATACACAAATCTATAAATTTAATACAGCACATTAATAGAAGCAAAGACAAAAATCACATGATCATCTCAATAGATGCAGAAAAAAATTGAACACCATTTGATGTTAAAAAGCTCTAAGACAACTAGGAATACAGGGAATGTACTTCAACAATTTAAGGGCTATATATGACAAACCCATAGCCAACATCATATTTAATGGGGAAAAACTGAAACCATTTCCCCTAAAGTCAGGAACAAGGCAAGGGTGCCCACTCTCCCCCTCCTATTCAACATAGTCCTGGAATTCCTAGCCAGAGCAATAAGGCAAAAAGAAAAAATAAAAGGAATAAAAATAAGTAAAGAAATAGTCGAACTATCCCTATTTGCAGATGACTTGATCCTATACCTCAAAAACCCAAAAACTCCACTGAAAAACTGCTTGACACCATAAACAGCAATGTAGCATTATATAAAATCAACTTACAAAAATCAGTATCCTTTCTATGTACCAACAATGAACAAATTGAAAAAGAATACAGGAAAACAATTTCATTTACAGTAGCCTCAAAAATTCAAATACCTAAGAATAAACTTGACAAAGGATGTAAATGACCTCTTTGAGGAGAATTATAAACCACTGAAGAAAGAGACTGAATAAGACTACAGAGGTTGGAAAGATCTCCCATGCTTATGGATTGGCACAATCAACATAGTAAAAATAACTATACTACCAAAATCCATCTACATGTTCAATGCATTAAAATCCCAATGACATTCATAACAGAGATTGAAAAATTTACCCTAAATTTCATTTGTAAACACAAATGAACTTTGTGTTGACGAATACCCAAGGCAATACTGAACAAAAAGAGCAACGTTGGAGGTATCACAACTCTACTTTGAACTGTACTACAGAACCATAGCAATAAAAACAGGCTGGTACTAGCACAAAAACAGATATGAAGACCAGTGGAACAGAATAGAGGACCCGGATATGAATCCACACAGTTCTGATTGGATCTGTCTTTATCAAAATCTCTGTTGAAATTTCATTTCTGACCATTCAATCCATTGCCTCTGATTTTCTCTACCTTTTGCCCTGTGGTTTCTAAGGGATGTTGAAACATAGCAAAGAAGGGGCAAGGGACACTCATCTAATCACTTCAAAAATGGTATTTGTGGACTATGGTGATAAATATATGTCCTCCTAGTACATTTAGATCATGGGATGTGACAAGAGGGGATAAGTTTTTTCTACCATCTTTCAAGCCAATAGAGCTATTTTGTTTTAAGATGTCAAGTATTGGGAAGTCACAGTTTATTTTTGTTAATTATTTGGTATGCACCCTATAGATAGTAGAAATACTTACTAGATTCTGGCAATTAGTTACTAGTCATATTCCATTTTTAGGATTCAGAATGGTTATTTTAAGGGGTCTTTGGGGGAATGAAACATTCTTTATCTTCTAGACTGCTGCATTTTAAATAGGAAACTGGTCTTAAGTTTCACTTTACCACAATATATAGGAACATGTATTAATTAAATTGCCATTTAGGATTTATGCATATATATCATTTCAGTAGGAAAAGCATGCATAACTGAAACATGTCTATATTTCTATGTTGTCTCTCACTTAGCCTCACACTAAACGATGCTCTATTTTCTTCCCCCAGTCAGTACCCAACATTCTACTGTTGCTAGCTTCCTAAACTTCAAATGTCAGGAAAGAGCAAATAGTCCACTTCTCAATTTCCAGCCTTGTAGCTTCAAACCAAAGAAATGATGGCAACATAGAAGTCATGTCTAGAAGTAGAGATGAGTCCAGTTCAAGAGTGAGCCACTGGTAACCTATAGGCATTTGTAAAAGTTCTTAGTGTCATTGAGTTTAAGTCTTCTCACTGATAAAATGACATTGAATATAATATACATTGAATATAATAATATACATTGAATATAAGAATGCACATAATAACCTCTCAATTAACAGTAGCTATTCACCTAATAGTTGAACCTGCAGTTGTTTCTGCATCTTCTGGGTTTTTTCAGAGGAAAAAAAACTCTTCAGAGTTAATGAATAGCAGGGTCCCTTTCTACCTCTTTTGTTAGGAAAAAAAATTCAACTAAGATTACTATCATTTAATATGTTCTATTAGTTGTAAGCATGGTATTTCTGATTTCACTTCTGACTGATAACTTAATATGTACATTTGATTTATTGGTGGAGATTTTTTTTTAATTATAAAAGTTGGGAAAATAAAGAATCAACATATAGGGTAAATAAATATTCAAATTTAATATGATTTTAAAAAGTCAGATTAATTTTTTCTTATGCTAACAGAACCCTTTTAAATACAGAAATTAAAATCACCATACTACATATTTGGAATTCACCACATCATAAGTTCTTGGAAAGGATTAATTTTTCTCTGTTATATCAGTCTTATTGCATAGCATATTTTTGAATATATTGGAATTAAAATCATTTCCTTTTGTGGGTCAACAATATTTTATTTTTAAATTAAAGATATTTCACATACTGATATTTAAGTGCAAGCCATTTGACTATAATTTTAATCATATGACTTTCTTTGGTTACCATTAAGTCAGTAAGCAATAGTAGGATCTGACTCACCGGTGAAAATATAAAGGTATGGGTGTGATCCTGCTTGCTGTGGCACTAGCTGTTCTTTTCTGATCTTCCTCAGCCCCGAGACTCTTCTTATCAAGATGTGGAGAACAAGGTAAGAATACAGTGACTGGCTTCTGAAAGGGATGAGTTGATGGGTGCTGAATGTGAATCAGAGGGCTCGTGGACAGTACTGAGTGGGCTGCATCTTCCTGTGTTTTTAAATGTGCCAGCAGAGATGGGTCAACTGGTTGGATCTACATGAAGAAGAAATATATATGTCTGTGTATATGTATATATGTATATATTTGTTTAATAGCAAAAGTATTAGCATATTCCTAAATTGATTTTCTGATGATTGTCAGAACATAGTTATATTTATTCTCTGTATGTTGTTGGTGAGAAACAATGCTGTTTATTTATGATCACAGCATCTGGGGCCCTTTCTTCTAAGTCTTTCTGAAATCTGGTCCCCTGTCTTACGCTATAAATAACTGAGAAACACTAAATTATAGGCAGCATATGACCTAGAAAACAAAAGCGACATTTTATATAATTTCATTAGAACTATTGTTAGATCAAGTGATCTTTAGAAACTAGAAAAATAAGACTATATTTATGTATTTCCTCTCACATAAAAATGGTTAATAATAAAAATAGCTAAGATAATTCCAAAATTCTAAAGTGTATAATAAACATATATGAATAAATGTATATATTTTCTTCCTAATCTTTCTTCTTCTCTTGCCATTTATGTTAACAACTGGGAGAAATTGAAAAGCATGTAAAAGTTCAGGCTAAAAAGATAGGGAATGTTACTTGAGGAAGAAAATCTAAAATGTACATTGACATATCATTCCACATTTTGCAAATAATGTTTGTATATATTAAATCCTTATTCCAAAAAAGGCTAATTTTTCACAATTAAATATAACTGAATATTCATAATAATAAGTATTTTAACTGATTATCTTTTTTTGCCATCTTCGCAGCTGTGAATCTTGAGCTATATGAATGTTCATTTGTTTCATAGATACTCAGCACATGTGTATATCAATAAATATCATAAACAAAACAAAAGACCAGCTGAGAAAGCCTTTCAAATAAAGCAGGGATTTATTCTGGAATGAGATTCAATGTGTTCAAAATCATCACTCCATCTCTGATATCTGATATGTTCGTCCACTACAAATACCTGAGAAGAATTCATTTATTGTTATCTGAAATATTTGTACCCTCTTCATTCATTAGAACCATGCTCAATAATCCACTAAAACTAGGAAAAAGAGCTAATCAGTTTTTTTGGCAGTACTGGGGTTTGAATTTAGGTCTCTGCATTTGTCTGGCAGGTGCTCTGATCTTTAAAATTTTTACCTTTAATTGGACGAGCACTGGTGAGCTGAAAACTCCTGGAGGGTAAATTAAGGATATTCTGGAATCCATGCTTGACTTCAGAGTGAGGCCTTTCTTTGTCACTGTGAAAGACTCCTTCTTTAAACAAGACACTACAGAAAACATACCCAATTTGTAAACTTTCACTGCAGCACAGGTCCCCTGTATGAAAAAAAGGACATTAAAACAAGATACAGTACTCTTTGGGGAAATATATGCTGTACGTCCTCTGTGAACTGTCAAAAAATCCATGCTCTGTCAATATAATCATTCACAATGTGGAAGGATCCCACTGATCAAAAATGGATGACCCTTACATGAGATGAAATAGGAGTAGAAGCTGAGTTTCTCAAACTTGGACTGCACAATAGAAAAAAAGAGAAGTAAATTTTAAATTAAATCCACACAAATGTATATATAAAATTGGCAGTCATATTCAGTGTTTTCACAAGCATTAACTGCTTCTGGAATCCTGGCCTCCTTTAGCTGGAATGGATTTTAAATACAGATCTTTATCCAGAATGTTCAATACTGATTTAGGGAATTCTAAGGAACAGAATTTCATTATTGGGGTGGTTTACTCAAACACACTATTAGCTCCTGTACTGTCAGCAAATTCCTCCTTCTGACAGTTCCCTCTTTAAGAATGCCAAAATAAATTCATCTTCTCTATTTCTCTCCTCTGTGCAGTGGGAGCAGATAACAGCAGAGAGACACATTTGTGTTTCTTTTTTATGCAGCGACATTCAAATTTGTAATCATATATGCAGAGACATATTCCAGCTTTTTTATCACACAAAAGGAAACTGAGTACATAAATGAAAACAAAATGATATACTTGCATAATCACTAACACCTAAAATGAGGAGGCAGACTTAGAAGTGATTTGGTCTATTCATGCTTTCCCAAACAGCAGCCGGACTTCACCCAGCATGAGGGGATAATCAGGCATACACACATACACAAAAAACATTTCAGGGACAGTTAGTGGGGAATAATCTACCATTTGAAAGCTGACTAAGGGAGAGATTTCACAATATCACTGCATAAACTCATGGCTGGGAAAACTCGGGAGCATGAGTGTTCTTAATTGACCAGAGGGAAAATGGCTAGAAGTAAGAAAGGTATTCTGGGAGCCTGTGGGGTTTCTGTGCCTTGAGATCACATTTGGCAGATAGTGGGAAACCAAATGGCCTTTTAAAATTAGAATTTTAGATGTCAGAGGACCCACCCACAGAAAAATTTGGAAGGAATCCAGAATTCAAATTTTCTAGAGCTAAAATTAGAGATAAGTACCCTGATGCTGCTATAGACAAAAGAAGTACAGGCTTTTATTTTTTACAGTAGTCAGTGATTGTATTAATTATTCTTTTGATTTGATCATCCATTTACTAAACATCATTCAAACCCATTTTGTGAGAAACAGCATTTTCCTGTGAGAAATTTTTACTTTTATTGTGGCAGGCATAGAGCTGGTCAAATTAAAAAGCTAAATCAAGGGCAATAATGTCCAGCTTTTTACACTTAAGAGCTTCTTAGACTAAATCTAAAATGTATTGTTATACCAGTTGGAATAAGTAATTAGAATAGGCTTAGGCCAGGCTCAACAGAGTACATGTATACACCAGCTACTCAGGAGGCTAAGGCAGGAGGATGGGTTGAATCTAGGATTTCTGGGCCACAGTCTGCTGTGTTGATCAGGTATTCGCACTAAGTTTGTTATCAATATGGTGACCTCCTAGGAGTGGGGGGACCACAAGGTTGCCCAAGAAATGGTGAACTGGCTGGAAACAGAGTATTCGCACTAAGTTTGTTATCAATATGGTGACCTCCTAGGAGTGGGGGGACCACAAGGTTGCCCAAGAAATGGTGAACTGGCTGGAAACAGAGTAGCTCACAATAGGTTTAGCTTTCTTATTTAACTAAATAATCAGGAAAGGAAGAGATACAATTGTTTTTACATTTCCTGCCATCTTCATCAAATAAGAAAAATTTAGATATAGCTGAAAAAGACAAATATTTTAATTTCAGTAGCCCACAGAAGAACTTTAAATATTAGTGGACATTGACTCTATAGGATTAAATTTAAGAAGTGTGTATGTTCCCCTTATAACATATGAAACTGTGACCACAGAGAACTTCAAAGATATTATAATGGTCTGCTATGAAAATGATAATTTATTAGCAACTAGCATGTGGTTATAGGCTTCTGCTTATCTTCTTAAGTGTTTTGTAAATTTAATTCTTACACTCTTATAAGACAGACACTATTACTGTGTACATTTTTCAGATGAAGAAACTAGAACCAGGCCAGGTAGTGCATACCTGTTATCTCAGCTAATAAGGAGGCATGGATACTAGGATCACAGTCTGAGGCTGGTCTAGGAGAAAAAGTACGAGACCCTACTGGAAAAATAACTAAAGCAAAAAGGGCTGGGGAAATTTTTCAACTGGTATAGTGCTTTCCTTGTAAGGGCGAGGCCCTGAGTTCAAACTTCAGTACTGCCAAGAAGAAAAATGAAATCAAGTCAGAGCAAGGTTTCTTAATCTACTCAGGTTCACATTGCAAGAAATCACAGGAACCCAATTTCAAACTCTGCAGATCTTCCTCCCCTGCCCACATTCTATAACAACATATGCTGTCTTCCACATATAGACCAAATTCCATTTATGGTCTTTGCACACACACAATTTTTATTTTATATAGTTTTCAAGATCATGAGTGATAACAAATAAAGCTACTATTATCTGGGAATTCTAACACTCTTAAATTGCAACACATTAGGTCTGTTATTCTTAAAGCATGAAGCTAATTAAGTCATGATGTTGATTTTATTTACCAGGTGAAAATATAGCATTTTTCTGGTCCTATACCCAAGTTCTCCATTCCTAACTTTAGCAAATAATTTCTGCAATTTGATCTTTATAGATGTCAAAAACTATGAGCGTACTGACACAAATCTATCAATCCTTTAATTTTTTTTTAACCAATGAAGCGATTATATCTATACTACAATCTAATAGCATGAGTAATATTAGGAAGAGCCAAACAACAAATGTAGTTGTAGCCAAGGGTTTTCTGACCTTGTAACTTCCTTTCATTCCTTCCAGTGAATTTGGGGTTAGGTAACTTGATTGAAGGTTTTTGTCAGATACTTTCACCATGATGTCTCTGTAATTTCCCCTGTAACGTGCAATAAATGGGATTGCAATGCAAATTGGAAATGGAATTCTCCTCTCCTTATCTGAGCATTCAACAGTGATGACATTACTGACCAACTCTTCATTATCATTCACTATTAAAGAACTCATGCTGTTACTTATCCAGCATTCTAGTTGTTGTAGGACATAGGATGGTGCTGTTAGGTAACAAGACACTTGGGGATCAGTCCCATCACTCAACACATCAAGGTATCTGCAGAAAAACAGAGCATCATTTTTCCAATTATTTTACTTATGTACTTCATAGCTAAATGCAGAAGAGTACAAACTTTATAGATCATTGCCTTGACATGACCATTATTCCTCCACTATTGACCCCGTGACCTTGGAGAGAATACTTAATCTCTCTGCCTCTGTCTTCTCAGCTGTAACATGGTATTAAAATAAAATATTCTCTATCTCACAGAAAAGCTATGAGTTAAATGAACTAGTATATATCAGTTAATTAGAAAAAGCTGTGCCTGGCACATAGTAGGTATTATTTATTATGTTAATTGTGTTAACTATAATTACTTTTGCTAATGTTATTATTGTTATTACTTAAGTGACTGATTTATTCCTCAGCATTGTTCAGTCCACAATAAGAATTTGAAGATTGCTGATGTTTCTTGATAAACTAAGTAACAATACTTAAATCATTTGCTAAATTGTAGGAGAGGGAGTCATCAAACATAGATATTGGAACTGTCTAAACACACTAGATCAAATGATGATGCTCACTGGATATTTTTGGAAAAATTGAGAAAGGTACAAAAGTTCTATGAATTTACAACTAGTCATAATAATTAGCAACAGAGTAGTTACAATCCTTAAATAATTATTCCAAAACCTTATTTTGACTATATTTTACTATATTTGTTTGTTTTAGTTTGTTGACAGTAATGGGGAGTTCAGTTCAGGGCCTAACGCTTGCTAGGCAGGTGCTCTATCACTTGAGCACTTCTTCAACCCTTTTTGTGTTTGTTTTTGATAGGTTCTCACTTTATGCCCAGGCAGCCTGGACTTAATCCTCCTATTTGTGCTTCCTCAAGGACCTGGGATGACAGGCACAAGCCATGTGCTCAGTCATTGACTGAGATGGGGCCACATGAACACTTTTGCCTAGGCTTGCCTTGGACCTCAGTGTTCCCAATCTCCACCTCTCAAGTAGTCAGGATTATAGGCTTGAATTCACAGAAAGCAGTCCCTTGCTTTGTTTGTTTGTTTGTTTCTTAACCATTATCTTCACCAGGGTGTTATTTTCCCATTATTGAATAATGAGGTTTTAGCTGTTTTCAATCACGGTAAATAGAATTTTAAAGTGTGCTTTATCATAGAAATTTTTTTAAATGTTGAAATTGCAGAGTGAATCATTTATTTATATTTCTGAACTTACAAAATTAGTAGGAGTAGAAAATAACCCAGTATATTGGTCTGCTTGAGTATTCTCTAGTGATAGTCTAGTGGTAATTCAGAAAATGAGAATTATTGTTCAGTAGAGGTTACAGTGACCCAGCTTCATATAGCTTCAGGAATGGCTGGAAACCATCTCAACACATTCTTCCTTCCCAAGGTGTGGTTCCCAAATGACAGATGAAGTAGTACTAAGATACTTATAATTGGGTCCATTTTCCCTACTCATAAACAAGTATATCTAGTTCCTTTAAAATAGTTCCCTTTGTGTACACACCAGGATAGCTACACAAAAGGAGACAGGACTCTTGGAAAGGTAAACATGGGGGAACCACAACAGTTTCTAAGCAAGGTTTTGTTTATGACATATATCTTTCATGTGGCATGATGGCTTCCTAGCCTGGGGTATTGCAGTGAGTAGTCATCCTCTCAAATATGCAAGCCAAGTACAATTGGCTTGGATGCCACAAAGAGGAAATCACTAACCAGGGAACACCTAGGGGAGGTGTTAGAGGGAGTGGTTCAGGCAATGACTCACTGATGTTTTGAGTCATTTCTGTATGTGAAGCTGTGAAGTGTCAATGTTTTTTCTCAAACAAAATGGGTAACCACATATTGACTAGTTTAGAGGTTGTTTTGCAGAGGCAATAATTCTTATCAGTTATGGAAAGGCTCATCCATAGCATGCGGTAGATCATCAACATCACAGCTAAACTAGCCCATTCTTTTCATGGTATAGATAGCTGAAGTCAATGTGAGCAAAATGACTTACTCAGTAATGTTATCCAGAAAATGGTGTTGCATATCTATGTGAAAGGGCATCATCACATCTTGGCAGAGAAGAGGGTAAGTGAAAAACAGTAGTGAGGAGGAAACAGGGAAAGTGAGAATTGTTTAGGGTGAAACAAATGAGTACACTAACATTTAGCTGAGCTTAAACACCTAAAAGTATCACAGTGCTATGTCCTTTTTGTGATTTTCTCATTTGACCTCACCAAAGAACCCAGGAAGTATATATTACTTTGACAAAAAAGAAAAATGAAGCTAAAAAAATAGAGCAAATTGTTTGCAGTCACAAAACTAGTCATGTAATAAAACAGAAAACAAAAATTATCTGCCTGACTCCTCAAAATAACTTATTTTTCCCTCTTCCCCATTGCCTTCCAAGGGTGCTATGTTCATTTTGGAAAATGTAGTTTGGGAATGTTTTATTTTATTTGACAAAATAGAGGGCTATTACTATCTTGGACAGGGAAGACAATTCACAAAATTTAACTAATGGGCTTTTAGAGAATCTGATGAGAACTCTGGAAAATTTTCAAGGAAATAAACTACATATATACATGTACATTTAACTTTAAGAACCTGCCAAAATTTATCCATGAGCTCCCTAGAGTTCTAAAGACATTGGTTAAAAATGGATGATGGCTTGAGGCTACTAAAAAGTTATCTCATTTTTTCAACATTCTGCAGTCTCCTGGCTTTTTTCTTATTATAATTCAAAAAGTAGCAATATAGAAAATTGAGTTCTAAACAATTGCTTTGACTACATTCTTATCTAGAGAATGTATTTTTTCCATTAAAGAACACTTAATATATTTGTTTCCTAAAACTATGAGAAATAAATAATATTAGTAATAGCAGGCACATAAATTTCTATAAGGATAACAAAATAAATTACTAATTTATAATTTTAGGGGGATATGACAGGGAAATATAAAATTTGTTCAGGTATAAATACTATGTTAACTGCTATGATCTGAATGTTTGTATTCTCCCAACATTCTTCTGTTGAAATCTTAGACCTCTAGGTGATGATATTAGGATGTGGGGCCTTTGGGGAGGTGATTAGGTCATAAGGGTAGAGTCCTCACGATGGGAATTAGTGACACTTAAAAAGTAGGAACAAGGGAGCTTGTTTATGCCTTCCTCAATGTAAGGATGCAGCAAGAAGTTGTCATCTATGAATCAGAAAGCCCTCACTAGACACAAAACCTGACAGTACCTTTATCTTGATCTTCTTAGCTGCTAAAACTATGAGAAATAGATTTCCTTGTTGAAAAGCTACCCAGTTTATGGTATTTTCTTACAGCAGCCCACATGGACTAAAACACTAACTTTAGAAACACACATATACATAGGCATATATAAGCACTTCTGACATTGCATTTACTTACTCCTTTTCCATTATGTTATTCTTTTGCTTTAGACTTTCTGAATCCTTGGGAAGATTATTCCCATCTTTATTAAAGATATTCCATGTGGTTGAGAATGCAGTAATCTCTTCTCTTTGGGTTTCTGAGGTCTTTTGAATTTCTCTTTCTGTTGTCTGGATTACATCATGAATCTCTTCCTTGTTGCCATTAGTGTTCTCAGCAGTCATGTGTTCCATTTGTTTATCATTTTCATTTTCTACATTATCTGGGAACATTGTGTTCTGTGACTCTTCTTGCCCTATTACATTTCCATTCAATGATGCATTGTTTTCTTTTTTCACTAACTCAGAATTTATATGTATTTTATTTTCTTTTAACTGGACCTGGTTTGTGTAATGACTTTCCTCTTCATTTGTGGAAGAAACAGTAGCTGTTTCTATGACATTTAGTTCCCCTCCTGCAGCAATGTCTGTTGCTTTGGTATCTTGAATGGTTGACATTGTCTGCTGTAGAGTATGTTCATGCATGCTGCATAAATTACACATCTCCTTTTCTTCTTTCTTTAGAAGCATAGCAGTGTTCCCCAAGCATTCATTCATTTTCATGAGGCAGTCTATGAAAGCAATAATTTCTACAGAAGCACATACAAAAAATAAAGAATAAAACTAAGCCAAATTATGCTTCTGTGCTGACAAGGTATGGTGACATAATCTTACAAAGACCATTACTGGGTATTTAGGAAAATCATGTGTACAACTGTCACTCTTTTAATACTTCATGAATGTAAATAAACTACTTTTTTAATATAGTCACAAAAGAACGAATACAATCCCTCTTGCTGATGAAAATGCTTTGCATTTTGAAGGCAAATGTCTTGCCAACATCTCCTTCAATCACACCTCATTTAGTATGACTGAAAATTGTTCCTTTGCCTCTGTAGGTACTATATGCTCTCAATTACATATTTAAAATACTGTACCTAAAATTACCTGAACACTCTAGAAGAGGCTTAGGTAACAGGAAAAACTACAGCTGCATTATTTCTTCTGAGGTAGCTTTTGTATTGGGGGGAGGGGTTAGTTTGCTGCTATGAGAATTGGATTAGGTTTACACTATGCCTCTTCGTGAGCTTGCAATCATTAGAAATTTTGAAATTAGTGTTTCAAAGAGTAGCTCTGATCATGCCATTCTCTAATCAGACCCTGCAGTGACTACTCAAAGACAACTGAATTAAGTCAAGCTTCTTCACTGTAGTGTAAATCCTCAGCAGGATCCAATCTGACGTAATGTCTCACTCCACTCATGTTTCATACCATGCTCCTATTTTGCATCCCTCTTCTCATAACTAGGGTCATCTCATGACTTCTTGTAGGCTTAGCCCCTCCCTAATCTTTAAATCAATTCTGTACTAAAGAATCTGTGATTTAAGGCCCCCATAGCTTAGTGGTTTTAGTATCATCACCAAATCATCCTTTTACTAGTCTGTTCTTATGTTAGGGCTCCAGTTCTGACAACTTGTGCTTTGTCTTATTCCTAAGACCCTCTTTACTTTGAACTACTATTTTCTGACAGCTGAGTACTTGTCCTGACATGCTGTCTAGGACTATATTCAATTCTCTCCAAAGACTAGAGCCCTGGTTATGTGTTCCAGATGATGGTTTCATATTTGGACATATTTCTCTGATGCCTACTCTTTGTCTTCTATATTGAATTTCTTAATATTATCTACCATGGATTCCTTATTTTTATGAGGCCTGCCCACTAACCTTAGTACTGTATTACTTAGAGGTAGATTTCATAGTGTCACCTGCATTCTTACCTAACAAAAGTATTGCTGTCTAAGATTATATTCATCAGATACCATGTTCTTCCTGACTTACTGTACTTTTTAGTATCCATAACTGGATCTATTCCCAAGAATTTGTTGTCCCTTTTTTTAGTGTGGAGAGCATCCAATTTTCTACTCTAGCCCATCAAGTCTTCCCAGTTCTTTTGTAATTAATAGGTCCAGGTTCAAATGACCCTAGGGTTAGAATATACTATTCTTATATAGAAAAGAACCACTTGCTCTGCATAAACTAGGCCTATATTTTCCTACCTTGGGTTCTGCTAATAATACCTCAGAACTCCCAAATTTCCAATTGCATAAACCCAATTCATCCTTGAAACTTTAGTTTAAATACCACATCTGTCCTAGTAAAACTCTACAGTGAAATCCCTTGCATTATTGTGTATTTGTCTTACCTTTTATCCTCTACCATATTTTTAGTCCCCTGTGAACACAGATTATATCTTAGCTTTGTTTGTATACCATAGTACTTCTCAGATACTGCCCCAATCAAGATTTCTCAGAGAGAGTATAAACTAAGAAAAAAATACTTGCCTTGTTTCCAGATACATTGATTTTCCTTGTCAAGCAGTGCATACAGCTGCTGGTAGGTAGAACGCAGGGTCCCTGTAGTGTGCTCCAACAGTTGGCGAAGAGCCCCATTGAGCTCTTGACCTAAAAAGACCACTGTGGCTATCCAAGTGGCCCCATCAGCCCCCTCACAAAGGTCATCACCCAGGAATGCCTGCTTTAACATTTGGTTTTGTCTCCAAATCTGCTTTAATATTTGGCCTAGTTTACCTGAACCTAAGTCTTCTATATCCATTTTATGCTCCAAAAATAATGTTTCTTTCCTGACAGCAAAACCTGAAGGTTCAGCAAATTCAAATTCGGTGATGGTTATTTCTCCTACAATCTAGGAGATGATCCAAGTCGGCTGTCCAAGCACTTTCACACACATAATAGTTTATTCAGCTTGTTGTTGACCAGTGAAAAGTTACTAGGTGACCAAAGGAAGGGCGTTCCTGAACCCTGGTGCTACTGTGTACAGAATAGATTAATCACAAGGGTAGAGCTTGCTCCCACAATGCAACCCTCCATGTATATTTTACAAATTCAATGTACTGTCAAAGCCCCAAATACTTTCAAGTTTTGAGGCAATGAAATACGGATTCCAGGTAGAATGCAAAATGTATTTAATCAGAGGCATACTGTTTTTACAATATTGCTAATAAAATTCCTGAATACATATTGCTAATAAAATTCCTGAATACAATATTGCTAATAAAATTCCTGAATACAATATTGCTAATAAAATTCTGGAATCCCTCAGTTACTGAGGGAAACTGTCTGGTATTCCTCAAAAAAATCGGAAGTATAAGAATGGGATAAATAAGATTGGCTATAAAATTAATAATAATTGAAGCTGAATTATGGCTTACATATGGGGTGTTTACAACTCACTCTAATCAGTATAGATGTAGAATATTTTTGTAATAAAGAATGAAAAGAAGAAAAGATTTCTCTGCTGGAGCAGATACTATTACCATTGTTTAAAAAGTATAATTAGTACTTTCTAATATGGTAAGCCTGCAGTAAGATTGAGATGGATACTTGGTCCCTTTATTGTTTGATAATTTCCTTCTAATTGGGTAAAATGCCCTTTGCTAAAAGAAAGCAAGCCTGAAGAGTGGCTTTCTTTAAAGTAGCAAGGAGTCTTAATGACATATAATTATAAGTTAGATACAGCAAGCTCTCACCGCTGCTGCCCGCTCAGTGGGCACACTAAACATGGTGCCATTGTGATACTGGAGTTAGTTGATACCAGGGAAACCTGGGAATGTGCAGCAGAACAGCCTGCTTCCTGCTCTCCAGTTCCCTCCTCTGAGTAGGGAGAACATACACCATAGCCTACACACTCTCACAGAGTTGAACATTCCAGGGACAGTCATGTTTCCATGGAGCTACTGGAACAAGATTAAGGCTTTCTAAAGAGGAGCTGGAAATCTTCCGCTCCACTGGCAACACATTGTCTCATCTTAAGCACTAGGGTTTTAGGGCTATGCTCATGAAACACAGAATACACAATGGGAAAAAATGAGCCCAGTAAACAAAGAAGAAAAAATGACAGTCATAGGCCTACAGACTGCCCAAGCTGCTTTTCTGGCCCAAAGAATCTGAGAGGCAAGGATTGGAGCAGTATGAAGACTCCTGGCTTCAGAGTGGGGTGAGGACTCCTTCCCTACCTAACATCTTGTTTTTCAGGGAACCTCTGTTCACTAAGACTCTATTTACCGAAAAAGAGGACCTTTTGGAAATATGAGTTCATGTCATATAAAGGTTCACATTTTTAAAAAATTAAAGTGCTTCTCAATTTTAAAAACTTTGATTCCATTTTATTTTGTTATTTTCTCTAAATCCTGAAACATATGTGTAATTTTCAAAAATAATATACATATGGCTTTAACTCAATGCCAATTCTGAAAGCTTTATACAGCATTTACTGTAGGCCAGGCACTATTTAAGTACTAGGGTGAGGTCTTTTAGGACTTCCAAGAGAAACAGATGCATGAACAGACAATTAAAAGACAGCATTAGACAGTTAAAAGCTAGAGCAGAAGGATAAAGAAAGGATCCTAAAGTCTTGGGATAAAAAATTATCTCGGATTAGAGGCTTGTGAGGTATTGGATGAGCAGGATTCGAGGATTTGAGCAGGTTGGAGAATGTAAGGAAGAAACATTACAACATAGGATACAAAATGATCAAAGGCATAGATGTGTTAAATTATACAGTGGGATCAAAAAAGGAAAAGTATGGCTTTAGACGAAGACACAGATCATGAGTCGGAAAAAATGGCAAAAGAAGAGTCCAGTAATTGTAGAGTCTGGGGAAGTTAGAGTTTTGTTTTGCAGACAGAAAGGAGAAATTAAATATTTTTGTATCAAATTACAAGATGACTAAATCTGTGCTGCAGATGCAGATAGCACAGACGTCAGAAACATGAAAGTTGGGAGGTCAGAGGGATTTTTATTAAAGCAACAACAGTGTAGATTTGAGGAGTCTACGTCTTGGGAGAGAATTTGGAGGAGAGTAGATAGAACCTGCCAAACCATCAGACAGAGGGAGAGGAACAGAAAACACTGAAACCCCATACATTCATTTATTTCTGAAATGTTTGTTGGCCACCAGGAAAAGAACTATGTTCAGGAATGAAATATGTCTAATTTTCTTGGTTTAGGTGACTGCATAGAGGTAAGCCTATTAAGGAATTTAGGAGGAATATTAGGTTTGATGGGGGAGGGGTAACCTGATTAATTTTGGATTCCTAGAGCTCAAAACAGCTCAGGAAAATACACTAGAAGTTTAGAGACAAGTTGTAAGAATACTGGCATATTTGAACATTATAAGCAGGTAGGCAAATAAATCCCTGGAAGGAGAGGAGATGGAAGGAGAATTCATAACATGCATATTTTAAGTGTTGAATGAAACCAATAATGACCATTGGATCCCTGAGTCAATCACATTCATTTCCTTGTAGGTAAGTGGGAAAATCCATTATCAGAGAGGAAAAAAGAAAGAAAGAAAAAAAACCCCAACCTTTTCTTCTTAGCTTCAGTAACATTTGCCATCCTCAAGTCTAAACTTGTTCTCTGTCTACTTCTTAAGAACATGTAGTATTTGGAAAATGAGACCTACCGCAGGCCACACTGCACCTACTTGTTAAAACAAGAATCTGCATGTCTCTGCATC